ATTAAATTTTAACTTATTAATGAATTGATCACGAAAACACTACGATTTGTGGTCAAATGTGCGCAATGGCGCACATTTGGTACAATTTGGCAAATTGAGTACTCGGAAAATTGTAGAATATGATGGATTATTCTCATCTTGATAAATAAAAATAATAATAATTTGAGGGTCAGAAATTAGATTTAATATTTAAAGAAACTGTTTCAAAAAACGACCAAGTCGTAGATATAAGAGTTGACTCTGTCTCCACCGTTGGTCAGCACATCCCAGATTGGCAAAAAAATAACCATATCTAAGATTATCCTGATAAAACCTCCCCGAACTGCTTTAATTTTTAGTTTTTATAATTTGTGGAGACAATGAGCCATCATCCAGTCATACAGCAGATGGAGAAGGGTCTGTACCTGTACCACTCCAGCCCGTTGTCATAGTTGCGGTCGAAGAAGTGCGGCTCCGCTCCGACGGCCCTGATGTCTGGATGAACCCGGAGAAACTCCAGCAGAGCGCGGGTTCCTCCTTTCTTCACCCCGATGATTATCGCCTGCGGCAGTTTCTTGCTCCCGGAGCCGTTGGAGAAGCTGGACATGGCGCTGGGCTCCGGCGGTCTCTGAGGCTGTTGCTGCTGCTCACCGCGCATCTCGTCCCACTCCTCGCCCATGTCCGACTCCGACTCGTTGTTGAGCAGGTCCCTGGATGCGGCGGTCCTGATGGACGGATCCTCATAGTAGTCTCCCTCTATATCCTCCCAGGGCTGGGGTTTGGACAGCAGTCTGGACACCAGGTCCGTCCTGTCGCTCTCTGTCCTCTTTCCCAGCGCGGCAGCAGCCGAACCCGCCTCTCTGCCCCGGTAACCGTCCACCACCAAACTTGGCATCGTGGAGCAGTAGCCCACACAGGAGTAGAGCATGTAAACCCAGACTAAGAACATGATGCTGAGCAGGATGAGCTTCTTCTTCACGGGGCTGGACCAAAGGGCATGCAGGCTCTGACACACTGGCCTATATTCCATAAGCCTCACGGGTGAAAATCAAATCCCAGCGGCGCATGTTGCCCAACTCACTCCCGGGAGCACCTCGGCAATCCTCGCAAATGTGCGCCCTGCATGTTCACCAAACAGCCCCAAATAAATACAACTATGAGAGAAGGAAAAAAAACTAGTCTAAATAGACTGGAAGTAGAGAATACATCCAGGAATGAGCTTGCGTGAAGGAATTCTTACGCATATTTGAAGCTGGAATAGGATTTGGAAAAGGCAGAAGCTGTGACCGGCGCACCGCTGCGCTGCTGCGGACTCATCTCAGGTTGGTTCGAATCTTCTGCTGGAGCAGCAGGACCTTATAGAGAGAGGAGCTGGTAAAGGACAGCAGCAGCAGCAAATCAGGATAAAGCAAGGATGAATATGCATCGCGCAGTCTGGAGCAGCGGACCAATCAGAGGAAAGCGCCAAGGAGGGTTCCTCCGCGTGGAAGAGAAGCAGCGTGCGCACCGCGGATGCTGGAAAAACTTTCTTATGGGGCATAAAGTTCAATTATTAGGAGTTTTTGGAGCCTGGATTTGGTTGGATTATTTCAGACTATACTCTAGGATTCTCCACGTAATTTGTAAACATTTATGCACGGCACGGTTGAGCTATTGCGACACAAAATCAGTCAAATATCCACAAAACTTTAATTCAGAAAAATATGCATGAAAAAAACGGTTTGGGTATCAGTTTTTAATTCAGAAAAACATGCATGAAAAAAACGGTTTGGGTATCACAATCCTGAAGATATTGTAGTAAGAAAAATGAAAAAAAAAACTGAAAAAAGGGGGGATCGGTATATAAATTCACTACAGTTGGGTTTCTGTAAAAGGAATAAAAACAATGAGAATAATTTTAAAATGTTTAAAATTGTTGTTGTACAATTAATTAGTGTTGATTTATTGAGAAAAAAGTTAAAGAAACTACTACATAATTAAAATACAGTATGTATATGTATCGTACTTTAGACTTTCTACTACATAATTAAAATACCTTATGTATATGTATCGTACTTTAGACTTTTTTCTGAATTATGTTTTTAACGGTGAATCCACCTGGACATTAGTTGATTACAAAAAGCTAACGTCTTGTTTTACGAATGTGTTGCATTACTATTGCATAAACAACGTTTCGCATTCACTCATTCGTGAATGGTTATTTCTATTTAAATAAAACTTTATTCAATCTTTTCTTTAAAAATCATGAACGTTTTTGTCGGTGGTTTTTCTTTGCTGCGCTTGAAAAACACGGAATATATTTTACTTTGAAAGTATTTTCTTATCATTAAACGTCATAATAACTTAGTTAATCAATGAGAATGGAAATGGTCAACAAAGCCGAGGTTTTATGTTTAAACTCTTTTTTATTTAAATTTCATAAATAACAATACCCAGTTTTATGCTATTATTCCTCAAAATATTTATCATATATTGTACCTTTTTCTTCCTAAACTTTAGTGTCACCATTTTACTTTACTCAAATAGCATTTAAATGTGTTCAATTTAGCAAACAGAAAAAAAACTTTTTTTTACTTTAAACTTGACTTGAAGCTAATTTAATTATTAATTCATTTGAAAAAGAACAATGCAATAAACAAAGGAGGTAAGACTCAAATCTGAACACCAGAGGGTTCTGTCGATTTTCTCTTATGCTTTCCAGAAAACAGACATTTGTAATTTTTAACATCCATATGTTTTAGAGTGTGAATCCCACCCTACAATGGTCACGTTGAACTATAGGTTTTCCTAAAGTTGAACACTGACTTTATTAGCCATAAACTGAGGTCTGAGTTGAGGTTTTGTCTTTCCTCGTCCTATACACAGACTCTCAGCACAGAGCCATAGTTTGACTGTTGCCACTGGTTATGTAGTCTCAGTTAAATATTGCTGAAGGATTATTGCTGCTGTTGCTGCTCTTATTTTGCAAGAGGCAAACTTTGAGGAGAGGTCATGGGTCGGCTGTCATCCTGAGATTTCATAGCCTTGGTTTGAAGAGTCCTGGAATCTGATCTGTTGCACCACTGTTACCCACCCTCCCATTCCTACCCCCCATCCCCTCTCTGTCTGTCTGATGTGAGGCTCAGTGTGTGGATGTGAAAAAAAGGCAGAGGGTCTGACTTACACATGGCCGTCCAGGGACCTCTCGGCTGTTTACAGATGCATATTTCCCTCTTCACTCTTGTTGACTCTGGCGTCAGAGTTCGGGCTCTTTCTGAATGGGCAAATAACATGAATGATTTAATGACTGGTATCATCAGTGGGAAAGAGCAGGACCTACATGTGAAAGAAAGGAAAAGGAGGGGATCTGTGTTCATGAAATAATAATTACACAAAGACTTTGAGTGTGAGGGGATGTGTGTTCATGAAATAATAATAATAATAATTACACAAAGACTTTGAGTGAAGTTTTTCTTCACTCTGTGATTGACCCCAAATACAAAAGATCTCAGAATTCATTGGTGGAGACAGTGAATAAATATTTGTAGGAAAAATAAAACGAGATAATCTCTGCTACCCACCTGAGACCTGTTGAAATATTTTCTTCTTTGGATTGGGGTTGTTTCACAGTGACTTCTATACTGACAGTCATGAAGCACTACTACTAAAGTTGAATGCTTAATGGAAAAAATGAGCAGATATGTGATCAGATCAGAGGGACAGTTAACGTGAAGCAGTATAGAGGAAAAGTCAGAGAGGTGAGGTTGGAATAGTGAGGAGGGATATTGGAGAAACTGGAAGTAGAGGCAGGTGGCCAAACCTGAAAGAAACAAATGAAAGCAAGAGGGAAAGACGATTACTACTAAACTGATGATTATTCTCTGTTCTGGTGACAGACATTAGTTAAGGTCAAATACAAATACAAGGTGAGCTGCTCAGAATAATTATCTCTATAGTTCTCAAGATACAAACAATAAATGTTAAAATTAACTTTGATAAAACTGAGTGGAAAAAAAAGTCCAAATAGGTATCCGTAGTACTTACAACATTATGTCATTAAAATGGAGGGCATATTCATTTCGAATGGGGTTTAAGGTAACTACAGGGAAGAAATGCTTTTAAGCAGATTTCTTCAATCTAATTGAATGTTCTCATCATATAAAACAGAAGGCAGAGGAAAAGGTAATTAAACATTTAAACATATGAAAATATAGATGTATAAAACATCTATAAGTGAATCAATTAAGTAATTCAAGTAAAATAAATGAAAACTGACTCTGAAAGTCAAAAATATCCAAGATTAGCCCATGATAAACATAAAACTAACGCAAAGTAATCTTGGACTCAACTGTGGGTTCTCAAAATAGTGGAAAAAAACTTAAATTAACCCAAATAAACTTTACTTAAATTGTCCAAGCCACACATCAAAGGTTGGTGCCAAAAATACACTTATAATAATAATATAATTAATCACAAATACAGTAAAGATAAAGGAATAGTTCCAGAGCTGAAAACTTAACAGGTAACTTTTATACAATTTCATAAGTGGGGCTAATAATAATAAGAAACTCATTAGAAGCTGAATAAAAAATTATAAACAATGAATAACTGCTAACAACCACCAAAAAATGGCTGAAAATGTTGGCCTTTATCTGAAATTCATTGTTTGTTTTTTTACTGGGCTTTTGAAGTGCAGAAGACATTTGGATTCAGTGTTTTCAGCTCAATAATCAATTACTAAAAACAATTTTTAGGTGTCGCAAAAAAAGCGTGTGTATTTGACATAAATCACATCCTGATCCATCAGCATGAGAAATCCACCGAGGTCACACCGGTGGTAAATCCACAGAGAAAACCGTTATACACTCGACTTTCACATCTCCACACAGGTTGTGTGGGTGTTCCTGCCCCCCTCCACCCTCTTTCCTCCCAACTTTAACAGCTGGCACCATCACTCTCCTCCTCCACTGGCTGATATAAAACTCTGTATCCGGTCAGTTTACGAGGACAGAGTTTCTCAGCTCCGTCGGCCTTGGCTAAATCCTACATCCTTTACTTTAATGGACTGAGGATGGCAGCGAGGGGAGGAGTGTTTCTTGTTCCTCTGTGTTCTGTGATGTCTGTGAAACCAAATACCAACGCTGGGATTTGGGGCTTACCTGCTAAAGACAGCATATTAAAAGATGTTGACTTTTGCTCCAAGTAAACACACAAACACAGAGAATATAAGTGAAACAAAAAAGTTTGCTAAGAGACCACACAGAGACCAGGCTAATATGATGCTGCATTTACTTTCAGGATACACAAAGCCTTGCTGATGAAGAGTCGTCAATCTGCTGAAAGAAAACAACTGGTTAGTGTTAACTTTCCTACATCATATTTCAAATGTTGCTAAGACATGATCTTTATTTAGCATTAGCACAATGCATCGGGTAAAGCACATACCAAACAACTGCTGTGGATCAAAAGAAATAAACGAACATTATTGTCATTTACAGCACACAGAGGAACAGTTGGGTGTCTGTGCAAATAAATACAGGATATATATGTACAGTGCACACACACATAGAATGAAATATTACAGGCTAATGTAATAAGTCTGTGTGTTTTATGGTAAATTAGCTGCGTTGATCCCTTTCATCACTTCCTGATGTGTGAATGTGACCGACTTAAATAAACAGGTTCAATCGCATGTCCGTCACCTGATCTCTATGGAGACAGTGTCTTGGTTAAACCGAGGTCGTTGAGGAGTTGAACACTCTTCTCTTAAAGATTAGCTCTGCGGCGTGAGTGATAAAGGAGCAGCTGGAGATCCAGCCACATCCTCGGGGTCTTTTCGAGGCTTCTTGCAAGTGAGGGCCAGCAGCAGTAGCATGGGCAGGTGCCAGAGGCTGCAGAAGAACAACTGGCGGGAGCTGTTGCGGTCTGCTTTTTTATGGAAATTGTAAGCTAAGTAGCTGATGTACAGGTTGATGGGCAACGAGATGACCGGGAAGGTCCAAGTGGTAAGGTCCAGCACAGGTGCTACTGTAGACAGGCCAATGAGGCCCACGCTGTGGCGCAGGGCCACCCGTCTGCACATGTCGGGGTGGGTGACGGACATCATGCGGTAGCCGCCGCGCGAGTAGTCCTCCCTCAGGTTCCAGCTGAGAGCGTTGAAGTGAGGGAACTGCCAGCTGTAGAGGAAGGCACCCAACACCAAGGCACCTAAGGGGTGAGATGGAGGGAGAGATAAAGAGTGAAAGAAGTGATGATGCAGAACTTAGAGGTTGAGGGAGTGAAACTGATATGATTCTAGTTTGAAATCAGAATTAAAAACAATTGTTACTAGTCCTAAAATATTACATATATATGTATGTGTATATATATATATATACACACACGTATATATCAGAGATAAACACAGGGAATGAATTACTTGTCATTGTGACACAGCACACCACTGCACACAACAAAATGTGACATTTTTTACCCATCATCAAAGTAAACAGGGCAGCTTAAGCGCCTGGAAAGCTGTTTCAGGGACAGTGCCATGTTCAGTGGCAACTTGGCAGCTGGTAGACTTGTACCTGAAACCCTTTGGACCGCTTCCTTAACCACCAAGCCACCACTGCTCACTAAGACCAAAATAAAAGTGTATATCAGCAGGTGACTCCTACCTGGTGCTAGACTCCCCGTGGCAGCCGTCCAGCCCATAATGGGAGGTATCGCCCCCACCACTGCCCCCACCCAAGTGTTGGTGATGCTGAGCCTCTTGAGTGGTGTGTAGCAGCAGGTGTAGAGGAAGATGTTGAGGGCGCCGAGGAAACCAGTCAACGGATTAACAGCCAATGTGAGGAGAGCAACTCCAGATGCTCCAGTGGCCAGAGCAAAGGAGACTGCATGGAGGGGGCTGATGGGAAATTAACAAGGAAGAGACAGAGAGGGAGGACAATACCAGATCAGAAGTGTACAAGGTGACTTTTGGATATTTTCTACATAGAAGGTAAATTACTGCATGCAGCTTTGAGCAGAGACAAAGACTGTGCTTTCATTGAAAAATGTGGCATGATAAGCTATTGTGAGCACACACACATAAAAACAGTCCCCCACTCCTCCCACAAACCGACAGTCTGAAGTTGTGGCCTGATCTCAAAACAGGAGGCTTAGAAGAGGTTCATCTGATAAGGGTTCGTCAGGGATAAAAGTAACCCTGTGAGATGAATAGCACGTGCGCAGCAAAGATCAAAACTAACAAAAGAAAACCGCGACTGCTCAGGCTTTTACCCGGATGAAAATGTTCTCCTTCTCCATCTCCTCCTCCCCTCATCTTTTATTGAAAACAGCAATGCCAACGTCTGGTTCAAATTCAGCAGTAAATGCTCCATAAATTAGAGAGGACGCAGATTAAAATCTTGACCAAATGCAGGGCCTTTCTTCAAAAAAAGCAAACAGGGTTTTATTTTGGTGGTGTGGCTGCGCGGGCGGATTGATACATTAATGCGATTAGCGGTGTTATGTCTGCTTCATGTGGGCTGAGGTGGGGCCGTGCAGGCTGGCTCTGGGCTGTTGACAGTCTGGCAGTGGGCTGGCGCTGTGGGGGGCTTGAAGAGAGGGGTGGTATCACATGACCTGAGGTGGATTCAACTTCATCCGCTGGGTTTTTGTATGGCCAAAGCCATATCACAAGGTGGGAAAAGTCAACACAGAAAACCAACAGTGTGGGCAGCACGTACGAAAATGACCACCATCACAGATTAATGTGCACAGTATTGAATATTTGACCCATAAATTTACATAAGTGGTGAAAAAATAATATTACAGTATTTAGCTAGAGAAAATGGAACCAATCAGTGGTGTGCAATAAGTAGAGCATGTCCTACCAGTAGACTGAATCAAGAGGAGGATGGGAGATCACGAGGAAATGATATAGATCTAATTCAGTTCTACAAAAGTACTATACTACAAAATGGACAACTATGATAATGGGATAACATTTTCTAGAAAAACTGAAGGAAAATATATATTCTAGATTTCTACACCATGAATACACTATTTAAAAAGGTATTTATTAAAACAAGACAACTTTCCCCAGACCCATGTTGTGAGACTGTGTTTGAAATCAAGGAAAAATTCTAAATTTTTATAAAATCGTTGATGCAAAAGAGGTGTTGCCTACTGCATTTCCACTGAGAGACGGATGAACTGCAAAATTACATAATTATCCTTCACAGCATTCTGCACCATTTGACACATTGCTCTCTATTTCCACCCATTAAGAATTCATCATTTGTCATACCAGGATTGTTAGCTCCCCATTATTGCAGAAATTATAATTGCTCTCATTGAACACTGCAGTTATTTCTAATCATAAGAAAAAGGTATAATTGCAAAAACATGTTAAACATTAAACCAATGATCTGTTACATTTTGTAAATTGTAATACTTTTACCAGACATTTAAAATTACAAGTACGATTTTTATATCTTCAACTGCGACCAATCAGACCTGACTGACTTGGTCCTCAGTCTTTGTCAGGAGACATGGCGCATACATGTCTTACTTCTCCTGCTGAGCTGAAAGCAGGTTGGCATCATCTCGACATACGGGAGCCTCAAACCACAACAGGGCATGATGAGATGTGTAGCAGATTTTTACAGAAGAACAATGAAAGGTGGGAAATGCTCTTGTAATCCGGACATAAAACAACAAGCCATTTCAGATGCTGCTGACATCATGGTGGGTGGACAGAGCAGTGCAGTAAGAGCAGATGTAGCGGAGAAACATCACTCAGCTCGTAAAAAGCCTGCTCTTGAAAAACTACACGGAAAATGTGTAAAATGTGGCCTCTTGACGAATTGTTTGACAGGAGGGCTCCAGCCTTCCATCTGCTCGCTGTCTCTGTGCCCAAGTGTGAGACACAGAAGAGCAGAGATTTTATGTGTTTAATCTAGAAACACACGTTTTGCCACTAAGAGCCAGAGAGAAGATGCTGTGTTTACACAACCCACAGAACACTTTTAATTACCAGCTTAACACCAAGTTCCCAATTTAAACAGCATGTCTCTAAAAGTACTAAACCTGGTATAAGCTATCTGACTGAGTGGCTTTTTTCACAGGCTGCAGTGGATTTTATCTTCCTATTCCTGGCAGAATGTGTACTGAGCCACAATGTCAGGCGGTTCATCCTCTTATGTCAACAAGCTGTTTGCGTTTGTCTCAGCTGAATAAAAATGAAAAGGGAGATGGGAAGTTGTTTTTTTCAACTTGCTGACAATGGGTTAAAAGGACAAGGGCTTTAAGTATCAGTGAGTATTGGTGACTGTGTGCCTTTCAAGGGTGGCTGTCGTCCCAAAGAGTCGTAGGACCGTGTGTGCACTTCACTGAGCAGCAATAACAGAGGTTATCTGTCATCTAAACAGTGCAGGCAGCAGAGTGAGGGTGGTCACATAAACTACACACTCCCATCCACCTCATATTCCTCCTACTCTCTTCATACTAACAGGCTCACGTTACACATTTCAAGTGTAGAGTAAATACATAGCGCTTGCATAAATTCCTGTTATTTGGATGAGGCATGAAGCAGGTTGTGTGTCGTGGTGTAAAAGACAACCCCCAGTGTTCAGACTAGCATTTGTCCTAGAACCTTGACTTAATTGAACTCCAGATCATGTTGCTGCAACTGTCTTCTTTATCACAGTCTTTTATGGCAGTAAAATGAGCACGTGGAAATATTTTCAGGACCAAATAGTGATGTACCTGATCTGTCCTCGAACCAGGGGACGATTCTTTGTACGGTTCATGTTGGAGTCAAAGGGCACCTCAAAGTACTGTGGAGACAGAGGGAAACAACATTAAGGGAGGATACAGCAAAAAAACAAAAAAACAGTCTGTCTAATCCGTATGCTTTAATCTTTTGGATAGTGTAAGTCTGTCTAATCTGTATGCTTTAATCTTTTGGATAGTGTAATACACACTCATAAGTTCTGGAACCTAAATTTTGGTATCCACAGCTATTATAATTTTGGGATGAAATTCAGTGAGAGCATAGCAGAGCCCAAACACAAAACCTCCAGTTCTGTTTCCTCTGTGAAGTTTTCTGTGTCACATCTGCAGCAACAATGTGAATGGAGCCGCACGCCTGAGGCTTGGTCACAGTGAACTTTCTGAACCAACACTCATCCAGCAAACGGACTGGAGGTGGAGGCAGCAGGCCGTTGGGTGAGCCGGTGGTGGGGTGTTCAGGGACACAACTATGTGAAAAAAATACGCATACTCCTGTTTTTATGATCTGCTCTGGAGGAGTATGCTTCAAAGTGCTCCCCTGAGATTGGCAATGTGTGACTTAAACACAAACACATGAGGCTCTCATGTGTAGGAACTGGTTAATATCTCCCTGTGTGTCCGTGTGTGTGTGTACCTTGCTACGAGCCATTAACTAATGAAGAAAAAAGATTTTAATGCTTTGGGTTATTGGGATCAATCTCCTCTGAGAAAACATTTTTGTTTATTTCATAAATAAAAGGAATTTCTTTTTTATTTATTTTACATTGTTCTTGCAAAACAATACAGCCACCAATATATAGTAAAAAAAATCCCAGTGAATGAGAATTTGATTTAATATAAATACTGTTGCTTAAACACAAGATCCAAAGAAATCTCAAATAATATAATTAAAAAAGCTTTTTCTTCCTCACATGAGGCTGCAACATCTTCAGGTTCCACATTTCAAGCTTAAGTGCAACCGGGCTTCTCCTGCACATTGTTTCCTTTGTAAAATCAGCAAAAGTCATAAAATAAACAGGGCTTTTGAAGGTGGTGCCTACAGTACCACACATAATAAAGTAGGTAAATATATCTCATTTGGCTCCAGTTAGTGCAGCACTTACGGCTGTAAAACCTCCTTGAGCAACCAAGGATATTAAAAATAGGGATGGAATGAAGGATTTTTTTGTGCTCCTTGCATCAGTTTTCCATTTTATCTTAAGACTGAAAATATGGGCTCACTGGGCCACACTCCATTTGGGTGAGGGTAATGCACAGCTGTGTGTGCGGCTATGGGACCTCAAGGCCCAGACTGAGGTGTTAATTCTATTTCCTGGGTCAGGAAATGCGTCAGGAGGTCAGGGGCCGCGTGAGAGAGTAAATGCACTCTGTGGCCAGTTTAGAGCAGAGCAGTGCTGAAGAAGGACTGATACAGGAACAGGGCCAAGCTCACTGCAACACTGCTCACATAAAATTGCAGCGAGTTTCCAATAACATCACTACCCATGTAAAAAACAGAAGGGACCTGTGCACTTTGTCACCACAAGCATATGAGTCACCTGCACTGCATAATAAAAAGAATAGACCAGAATATTTTTCAGTGGTAGAAAAGCGTCTCTAAGTGTTACTATTGTTTGGCTGAACCATCCAATGAAACTAGGCTCAGCGCTGAGCTTCTATTTCCGTTTGTCCTACTCTGCTTTTGTACTTCCTTCTCGTCCTCCTCCACCTCCTCCTTCGTGGCCTTTTTTAAGTCAAAGAGCATCATCTGGTTCACATCATTCGCCCTCGCAGCCCTTGTCATTATTTCCACCCAACACTGCCATGTGTTACAGTGACTGCAATAAAATAATTGGCCCATTAGCATTTGTGTGCCGGTGCTGCTGGTAGGTCTAAAGGCTTGGGTAACTCTACTGTACATATCATCGTTTTAATGCTGCAGATTTTCACACTTCCTCTCGCTTCCTCTTAGGCTCAACTGTGTTATTAAGCAATGTTGTAATGTTTGGCCACATGATGGCCAGGTGATCAGCATTGTTTTTTTAATAATCAAATTAAGTTGTGTTTTCATTGTTCTGGATTATAAAAAAAATTACTTAATTACTTATGCAGTATTCACACCTCACATTTGGCATGCTAAGCAGGCAAATGCCATCAACAACAATCTGTGTCCTGTCATGAAACTGAATTTTCTTAACGTGAAAAAAATGTTTTAGATCATATTCGTCTTTCTTTGTCATGTTTTGCAGCAATTCAATTTGCTGATGGTGTTTTAGTGCAGCCAGATTAAAAATCTTGCAGGCAAAGGAGAGGCTAACTGCATTGTTGTTACGACAGAAGTCTGATTCAACAATATACTGATTCATTGGAAAAGTATTTTTTTCCCATTTCTTAGTATAATTCCAAAGAACTATTGAGTTAGTGTGGGGTCTACCATCTGATTAGCTGACTAATAATTTTCAATAATCTGCAACTAGTGGGTAAATTAAAGAGTTATTACTTGCAGTCAAACTGGTGCGACTGAAGTGGAAGTTATGGCTGCTGCTCTCAATTAAAGACAGAAACACACACACTCGCTAACCCTTAACAAAAAGGGCAATTATTTACCAGATGATGAGGGCTTAAAAAAGGCAAGACTTAAGTGTTCAGCAGAGAGAAGGCAGTGTTAAGATGCCAAATTTGTAAAGCCACCTAAAAGGGTTACAGCCACTGCTAAGCATCAGGTCTCCATAACAGGCATTAGATAGGCTAGATAACTTAGCTTTGTGACAGCACGGTTTTATAATTGTGATGCCAAACCACGAACTGTCTGTAAACCAAGATACTTGGTTCTCTTCTTGTGTTGCTCAATAAAATTGTTAGAATACAACGAAAAGTAAACTGTGAGAGTGTTTAGTCAAAAGAAAAGTCTGGACCTAAACACAGGCAGAGCAGTTCAGACAGTTAAGCAGCTGCGATACTTTGGCTCACAGAAACATCAGCTGGACCTAAACACCGTGTCTCCCCCACTCAACTAAAGAAAATCCAGGTGCATGGGCCAAAACCCCACAATAAGACCAAGTTGTTGCTTGTCGGAACGTCAACTATTTGCACACTGGAGCAAAACGGCAAGCCCAGAGCTTCCACAGGGACGGGCGGTGCTCACACCAAAGCCACGTCTACTTCAAAAAAATAAAGTAGAGAGCTCTCAAAGACCCTTCAACTCAAACTGTGAACAGTCTCTGATCATCCACTTGACAAACAAGCAGCTGAGATTTACATAGATTAAGCTGTCCTCAGAGGTAGAATCTGTAGTTCTGCCAGGCACTGTGCTGTGTTTTGAAGTCGAATCAAAGCAATGTATTGGAACTAAACAGGCCATGAAAACAGATGCACCATTAAAGGAAGACAACAACCACACAAGTAGACCAGATCAAAAACTTTGAAGAAAAAATTAAAAAAAAAAAAGTTCCACTGGAAAACAAGCATTTTTGGAACTCTGTGAGCACTGTTGTCTTTGTTCACCTGTGTCATACTCCTCAAAGTTTTCAAAAACATGCAGATTAGTTAATGACAAATCACTGAGGAAGAAACAACAACACAGCAACAAAGCACCTAGATGTATTCAGTGAACAGTGGAAGTAAATGTACAATCTGGTAAGGATAGATGTTTAACATCATCAGTGCCATCCACTTGATTTAATGATTTGAGTTTTACACTGTGGCACAGGATTGCTCCGAAAAACTGCATTCCACCTTTAATACCAAAAAAGCAGTAATATTTAATTTCATGTCATCTGCAGAGGAGGTGAGTGGTATGTCAGAGATGCTGCACATGGACAGGTGGCAGATGTTGCGCCGACTCCTGTCCTCTGAGATCCTTTGATGTGATGAAATGATAGGTATCAGCTCAGCAGGTGAGATCTGACATGAAAAGGCAAGGACATGTTTGTAATGCTTAATTCATGAAACAGGAATTCAGAATAAAGCCAGAGTATACAGAAAGTCACGCAAGAGCAACAGACATCTTCTCACAACAGTCATCCGAAAAGTCGGCACAGTGACTCCTGCCTGTGTACGTGATTGTTACAGAAGGGACTGTAACTAGTCCAGCTAGAAGTACCTGACTTTGTCTCCTCCGAGTACAACACTATCCTGTTACGTGTGGAATTTAAACATCTTTTGATCTAACAAGAAACCCGAGTACAGTTTGAAGTATTCCATCTACATATACAGTGGATTTCATGTTCCTTTAAGAGTTGTGTTCAACCTACATTTCTTCTCGCTCCATTTACAGAGTCCTGTCTCAAACAGCTGGCAGCAGTTCAGATGGCGCGGCTTCTTTCTTGATTAATGGCCTGTGTGTATGTGAGACAGTGAAGCGCTAAACAGTTCTCATGTTAATCAGTCAATTATGGCTGTTCAGAGCTACCTTTACCTTTTGCCATGTCGATAGCATTGGTAGAATGTGAGAACTGATGCACAGGCCTGGGCAGACAGGTGAAGCCATATGAGGAAAAAGCTCGATGAAGAAGGAACAGGCTAAATACAGTGTTTTTTGTTGGCTATTATCCACTATATGCTTTATACTAGATGCTGCCTGCACATATGTTTGAAGAGTCCTTGGTAGCTGCTGCTTTGTCTCCACAAAGCAAAGTTTCAGGTATGAAACTAATGAAAAATGAGCAGCAGCTCTTTCTGTTCGGCACAGAGGGTCGCCTTAAATCACAAATGCAAGCTGCCTCAAGGAATATGTGCTTTTTGTACGGAAGTGATGCCACAGTTCATCATGCGTGCCTCGAGTGTCCTATCACATCACTGTTGTCATTATTTATACCTGAATACTGACTGGAGGCACAGTGCCTCCTAGTGAAAGGGAGTAAGATTGATGTAAAAATAGCAGCAATATTCGGTGGATTTTATTTCATTTTTAAAAATGTTTTTCAAACTTCTTATAGGATATAATAAAAATATGATTTATGATTTTATATTTTGGTAGAAGAGGTCTTGAAGTGTTCTTTCGGAATTTTGAAATCTATACTTCGCTAAAGTCTGAGGCAAAACTTGCCCTTCACTTAAAAAAAAA